GCGTCTGGAGAAAAATCACTGGTCTTGGGAATAATAGTCACTTTTTATTCAAACCTATGCACAAATCAAATTATTAATAAAAATGAAAGTTAAGACATATTGAGTTCTTACTGTCTGTCTTGCAAATGCAGTTGTCCAGTAAAAATCAAATCCCGACTTAAGTCAGGAGAGACTGTTTGAAGGGATCTCACAAGAGCAGGGAGAAGGCTCTGAGCATGAGATCTCAGCGTCTCAGTGGTCAGATAGCAAAGGGCTTTTCTTGTGCGTGGAAGTGAACAAGGCCAGAAAGATGTGGAGAAGTGGGAGTGGTGGAGGGAGGTGGCATGAAGGGACAGTAGATCAGAGAAGGGTTTACCCTGAGGCTGGCCCAGAAGCTGGGAGGCCTCTCGAGAGAGTGGTACGTGGTGTGCTGGCTCAGGCCGTGGGTGGTCGTCATGCAGAGGCCTGAGGAATGGGGGGAAGTTTGATCAAGCCAGGTTAAGGGACATTTTCTGGTTGATCAGTGGACAAACAGATCAGCTAATCTTTTAAGGGGCAAAGAATAGGAATTTGGAGGGCCTGTGTCTGAGCTGGTTGTAGGTAAACGAGGGAGTCATCCGCAGTTCCTACCTAAGTCATATGGGAAAGGAGAGTCCTTTGCAGTAAGCCATTTCCAGGAATACCAAAGGGTATGAAGGTTTCTTAATCACCACTGTCTTTTAGGAACTCAGGGCTCAGGTGAAATTCAGCATTGTCACAGTGCTACTCAGCACTTTATCTGATACGTTTTAATCTTCATGATAACCCTGAAGAATAATGACTCTTGTAAGCCACAATCAAGGTGACTCTGGTGAAACTGAGGACCAGAAGGGTGGAGGAACAGCCGTGACCACACTGCTGGTTAGAGGGTGAGCCCCTAAGACACTCACTCCTTGAGAAGTCATAGCAGGTGGGGCGGGACATCAGCAGCTCCCAGAGCTCATGGCAAATAAGAGAACTATGCTGCCTAAGTTGTTTATTTCTTATATCATCTAAAAAGGCCAAACTATTTAATCAGCCCATGTGTTACTTAAGCCTTTTCTTGTGACAGAGACTGACCATGGCCAGCTGAAGAGTTGTTTTTCTTTGTTTTAACTACATTAGCATATCTTACAGACTCCATGGAGGAATTGAACTTGTAAACTGAGAGGACAGTGACAAGGGCTTCAAGCCTAAGAAATAGAGTAACCAGTCATTGGCCCCTCTCTTTAGCAGTGTTTCTCAACAGGGGCACAACTGACATTTTACCCAGGACACTTCTACTTTGTGAAGGGCAGTCTCATCCCTCTCTGCTGTGTGACGTTCTAGGCCTTTGCCCACTAAATGCCAGTAGTGACCAACCGTCATGGCGACAACCAACCAAACATGCTAAGTATTTCCACAAGCCCCGGGAGGTGATGCAACCTGCAGTGAGAGCCCAGCCGAGCTGCCGAGCGTATTGCCGTTGTTTCTCAGCTGTAGGGACATTTGGTATCTACGCTAAGTTCTCAACCTCTGTTTCCCTGGACTTCCAGGCAAAGGTCAGCTCCTTGACCAGCCTGGGTGGCCTGGGCGTGGTCGTGTTGTTTCAGTGTGGTGGCTCCCTTGGTAGCCTTGTGCGTGAAGGGGAGTCACTTCTTGGTAAGAAGTGGGTATTATTCAGATAAAGTTCTGTGTAGTCCACAATGGTTAAATTCATCAATTTATCACTCACTGACTTGGCATAGAGTGTACATAATCTGCTGGCTGCTCTGGTAGGTGGTTTTTATACATTTCTGTATTTAATTCATACAAAAAGCACCCACAGTAGGTGGTATGATCCCTGTGTTGTAGATGAGGAGTCTGAGATTTGTGAGGGTTGACTTGCTGAGGGAGTATAACCAATACACAATAGTTAATTGAACAAAAAAGGGAATAAAAGTGCTTCTGATTACCCAAATACTCGTTATGGTACTTTTTGTCAACAAAAGACTAATAGAAGTTAAATGGAGAAAGAAGACTCCTAAAGGTCTAAAAAATGCTTTTCCTTTTTATGTAAAGTCCCATGTTTTTATATTTTATCAAGTGACCTTGAATAAATCATTATCATTCTGTAGACTTTAGTTTCCTCAGTGTTAAATTAGATGTTTGTGCTAGGTGATTTCTAAGGTCTCTAATTTGCGTTAGTTGGGAAATACTTTATTAAAGATGTGATGTAATAAATATGGCTGTTTGCAGAAACTTATTTTTATGCTATCCTTGAATGCCACTAAAATGAATGGAAATGAATGGAAAAAAGGCACAAATCCGTGAAGAGAAGAATGAGAGTGTGAGACAACAAAAGGCAAATGATGTCAGTAAAATTTTGTAGCTGCAAAATAAATGGATAAATGGTAATGACTTGGAAGACCAGAGGAAGCAGAATCCTGAGCTTGCAGAGTGAGAGAAAGTCGACCAGAAACCTCATTAGCGTGGGAAGAAAACCCTAAGACTCAGGAATCGTAGACAACAATGACTGTGAAGGTAGATTTATAGAGGAGACTTGGTTAAGGCTTGTGTGGGAAGTAGTTAGACCACCACATGCTCTTCCCAGCTGGTGAAACCGGGCATCTGCCCTTCTTAGCCTGGCAACAGACTGGAGATTTTCTCCAGAGTTTACGTAAGAGAAGCCTTAGGCTCTAAGACCCAAATAGACAGCTAAGGGCTAGAGTGAGATCCTCCCACTGAAAACGAGGGAATTATTTCATTTAAATAAGGATGTGCATACTTAAAAATGGGATCCCAGTATTCCGGCAGCCAGGCTTATACCCCCTCCTAGGAAACTGAGAATTCCTCTTCAGGGAAATGCCTAGCCCAAGAGAAGAGAAATAGAGATAGTGATATTTGAGTAGCTTTTGATGAAAAAACTGGCTGCCATATTACAGTGAATTGTCAAGTCCGGTCATCCCATGTACAAAAGCAGAACTTCCAGTCAGCATTTTAGAGCTTCAATCTTAAAATTTTAAAAATGCATAGCAGAGGATTACCTGTCATCTGAGGAAAGCCCATAATGTAGAAAGAGAGCAGTTCACAAAACATGGCGGGTCAGGAGAATCTGTTGCAAGAAGCAGATTCTGTAAGCTCCAAGGTGGGGAGGAGCCACTGTCATTAGTGTCCTCAGAGAGATAAGAGCTTATATTGCTTCCATAAATATTTGTTAAAAGCCATAAAAAAGAACAACTATAAGGAAATACTGTTAGTAGTTAAACATTTCGTAGCAGAAATGAAAGGATCAATAGAAATATAGGCTTAATGTAATTAAATCTCCCAGAAAGTGAAACAGAGAGAGATAAAGAGAGAGGAAAACTAAGAGAGAAACTTAGACATCCAACTCAGGAGGTCCAATATCCAGACAATGGAATTTCCAGAAAGACCAAGTAGAGAAAATGAGGAACAAGAATACAGTGGAGGTGGGTGGGTCGAGACACTGATTTTTTTTTCCCACCTTGTAGTTTGTTTGATACTTGAAACTCTGAAAGTATCACTTTTATACTTTTCAAAACTAATTTAATTAAAGTTAAATTTAAAAAACCGAAAAATAATTACATGTAAAGGTTAAAAATAGATATTTGAGTTTTCATTGAAGACCAATAAAGTTAAAAGTGGACAAGGAAAAAAATACCATTTTGATTTTTTAAAATACGTATTTCAGGAAAATTACTTCAATTATCATAGTTGGATAAATTGAGGAATGATTTTCTCTTAAAAACAGCAATGCTGGGTCAGCCCCAGTGGCGTAGTGGTTAAATTCAGTGCCTTCCAGTTCGTGAGCTAGGTTTGGTTTCCAGGCATAGACCTACACCACTCTGTTAGCAGCCGTGCTGTGCTGGTGGTCTACATACTAAAAAATAGAGGAAGATTGGCTCAGGGCACATCTTCCTCAGCAAAACAAAAAACAAACGAACGCAAACTGCAATTGCGCAGCAGTGGCATAGATCATGAAAGATAGCTGATATCAAAGCAGCAGCTACATGAGTTTGTAATCAAGGATCTTATCAAAGAGAGCAGTTTCTCTCCTGGTAGACAGTGCTGACTTTCTATATGGCAGCAAGAAGTATCCATGATTTACCTGAATTATAGTAAAGCTTTTAAAACTTGTGTGAAATTCCTAATGATAATTCTTCCATTCAAGATATATTTATTGTCTATTATATGCCAAGCATTGTTCTAAATTATGTATTTATGTGGACCCATTTAATCCTCAGAAGAGCCCTGTGAGGGTAGGTCCTGTGTGGTTCATCATTCCCATTTTATAGATGTGGAAGTCAAGGTATAGAGAGGTTAGCTTACTTGGCCAGGGTTACTCAGCTGGTAAGTGGAACAGCCAGGTTTGAAAATCATGGCAGTCTAGCCTCAAAGTCTCTACCCTAATTAATTCACTTCTACTCTTCTTGTTAAATAAAGGATCCTAAGCTTCTAGGTTAAATAATTTGTCCGTATTCCCATAGCTGGTTATTTTAGAAGAGAGAGATGTATTTTTTCATAAAGCCTTTGTTGGCCACTGAATGCTTAAGAACTCATCTGAGCCAGTGCACCCACTGATTGACTAACCAAAGCTTAGGTACTGACCAAGGAGAACCCAGATACTCTATAATGACCAGTCCAGTGCACATTAGAGGACACCCGCTGTCCTTTCCCTCACCTACATTTCAATCCTTGCATTGTTCGTGGTTGATATTGAATGTGTGTTGAAATTGTCAGAATAGCAACTTAGAAATTCTGGGAAATAAATTGCATGTACAATTTGTGAAATGTAGCCATCACTGAAGTGATTGGTGTAAAGAAACATGTCAAAAATTTTTAAATTTCACCATTTTTAGCCCCATTTTATATAGTTTATGGAAACAGTGTGATGCATGTAGCACAACTTAAATATTAGGAACATTAATTATGTGTGGCATACTACAGTGTTTTCCTAACATTCTGGATTAGTAAATTACTTTCAGATATGAATGTTACAAATTTGGTTTGTTTGTTCTTCCTAGTTCAACTTTGTGGGGAAACTTTTGGGTCCACGTGGCAATTCTCTGAAGCGTTTACAAGAAGAAACCTTGACAAAAATGTCCATCCTTGGAAAAGGTTCCATGAGAGACAAGGCAAAGGTAACAGTCACCATAGACAGTGGCTACATTTTTAGTTAAGTTATATAATGTACTTTTAGGTCATCCATTGTATTAATGCATATTATATAAAAGCTAACTGGGGTCTCAAAGGAAATTATGTGAAACTGTTATATAAGGTGATTTATCTGTGATAACTGTTTAGAAAATTGAATCACTCTGGCCAATTTCAGAATATGTAGTATCTTAAACCTACATCTGTGACTATTACATTCATTTATAAACTTAAATAGCAGTACCTATGGTTTTGATTCTAAAAGCAATGTTACCTTCTAGAAAGTACAGTGATATTGAAATTATCTTGAAGAGAACTAAGAGTTATCTATAGTCTCACCATCATTTTTTGCATTATAGATTAGTTCCTTAGGGTCTTCTGTCTATGCCTTTGTTTCCCACAGTTGAGTTTATAAAGTATATACTTTTATTTGCTCTTTTTGCCATTTCTTTGATATCCTATGCATTTTATCAAGTTAAAATTTATTTTAAATGTTTTAGTAGTTGCTCACTGTTCTAACACCTACTAATACTACTTGGATGTGATCACACTAACTGCCTTTTTTTAAAATAAGCTAAAATTACTCAGCTATTTGCTTTGAGCACTTTCTTAAATATACCAATTCTGAAAGAAATTTTCACATTTCATAGTGTGCTATCACTAATGTTTTCTCTATTATCACTTTGTTGTTCTCTCATTGTTAAAAGATTTATATTACTGAGAACCAAATCCATATTCAGTGATCACTTGCCATGCAATATTGAACAATGATTGTATCAGACAAGAAAGTTATTCAGACAAAACCCAGCCCCCTCACAAAAAAAAGTCCATCTAAATAACAACTTTTATAATAAAAATAGCCATCATTTTGCTATTGAACACCCACTATGATTAGACCCTGTGGGAGACATTTTACATGCATTATTCCATGTTATCCTTAGAAAAATGGAAGATACATACCACTCTCCTTATTTATGTGTTAGAAAACTGAGATTCAGAGAACATGAGTGATCATCTGGGTTAATCACGGAAGTTCATTATATTATTTGATTAAAAAATGGCTGTGTGTCACATTCACCTGGAATGCTGTTTAAAAATACACATTCCCGTGTCCCAATCTGTTTAGGGTGGAACCTCAAAATGAATTTTCAATAGGTGTTTGAAATGATTTTGACCCACGCCAGGCTTAATACTCACTAAGCATTGCTGTCTCAAGTGGTGTTACTTTGATTCCCTGACTCATCTATTCTGGCAGGCAGAGAAAATAGAATCATGATTGGTCAGAAATTCTGTGTATCTTGTAGGAAAGTACCCCACCCTTGCTGGTATTTTGATAAAGTCTTCCATAAGGCCACCTGGTATCGTGGTACCTGATGTGACCACAGAGACCCATCAACATGATGCTACTTATTTTGTTTGTTGTTAAGGGAGTTCCTTGGTCAGACCATTCAGTGGCTTGATCAGGGCATCCACAGATGGTATTACAGGTAGAAGGGAAGTGGGGAAGGCAAGTCTTTATCTAGAGTCTATGTCCAAGTACCAACAAATGGCTGGCTGGCTGTATAATGAAAGGGAACCTGAAGATCAGCTTGCTTTCAGGGCTTGGTCGTCCAGGTTATGTTATCATTTCAAGGGCTGGTGGTAGTTCTCTGCTGTTGGCATATAGGACACTCAGCGGTGGCAGTAGCCAATCATCGTTTTTGGGGAGAGTCCGTGTTGTAAAGTAGTGCATGACCTCTCTCCCTGTCACCCTGAGCACTTTGTTGATGAGTCCCTTGTGTAGCACTGAGGTAGCTTGGGAATGAGCTGCTTTGACAACTGCTAAAATGGGTCCCCTTGGTTACCGGGTCACTATGTGCCTGCTCTGCATTGCATGGGCCTCTTTCCAGACCACTTATCAACCATTCACCAATCCTCTCATTTCTACATTTCTATGTGCTCAATGACATGGGTCAGCAAGTCAATATGGGGATTCTGCAAGTGGCTGATCATTTATATTCCATCAAGACAACTAGAAACTGAGGAAGTCCCATACATCGTGGGTTTACAGTCTGCTGAGCGTACTGTCAATAGACTAGGACCAGAAGTCCTTTTGTCTCTTGACCTCATTGTCATCAGGGGCCTTAAATGAATACATTTAGTATCCCATCTGCTGTGTTATAGTCAGATCCTCACTGCCCGAACTCTTGAATACTAATTTCATTTGATCCTTTTTACTAGTTTAATTTTAGTATACAGAAATTCTCAGTTAATAATATGTTTATTTCTAAACAGCTTTCTGTTACTTAGTATTAAAATTTCATCCTTTGAGATTTTCCAAGTGTTCGTTATTTCAGTTCTAACATGAGCATAATTCATTTTTTCTTGTACTTGCTACATTGATGAAATTATGGAAGTCATTACTGACATGTATCGGCTGGTTATGCAGCATAATCACAGTAATGCTGTGGTCTGCTGGGCCTTCAGTTTGTGGAAACATCATGCTAGATGTTTTGCCCACATCAACTGTATTATACAACAATAGAATAATTAATACTATAGCCATGTAATAATAATTACTGTAATAATAATTGTCATTACTGTATTCATCGTTTATTATCTGCTAGGCATAATTCTAAAGACTTTTTGTGTCTTTCTTTAGACACAAAACTCTTTTATTACCACAACGCCTTTATTACTAATAACACCTAATTATAATTACTCCTTTATTACTACAACAGCCCTATGAGCAGTAGGTACTATACTATTAGCATCCTCATTTAAAATCATCCCTTCAAAGTGAGGACAAAGTGACCTGCCCAAAGTTATACAGCACAGTATGTATTGGATTTGGGATTTGAAAGCAGAAGTTTGAAGTCTTTGTTCTTCCTCAGAAAACACAGTGCCTGTCTTCATGAACCGCTGAAACAGGCTGGTAGCAACTGCTCACTCTATGGAGTCGTGCAACAGCTGTGGTTGCAGTAAGAAAGCTCCTTCCATCGCAAGTTTGTGATAGAAATGAAATGCTTGACTGTGAACATTATAATCTCTCATTAAAATCATTATTTTGATACCATTTTAGAAAAATATGTTTATTTTAGTAGTTCATATTTTCACAGATGGACTACTGTACACAGAATACAATTTTTAAAGCTTTAGCTATACAAGGCAGAGTATCAGATCAAATGATTGAAAATGTTCTGATTGGAACAATGGATGATCTACGGTTGGCATAAAAGAATGGTGTTTCTTATAGTCAAGACAAATTTCAAAGAAAATGCGCAGGATATTATGGTAGCTTATATTTGCTGTCCTGTATTTCAAATAATTTTCTTCTTTCTTTCAGTTTCTGACCCACTTTCCATAAGTGTGAAGGAAACTAGCATTTATTGAGAGCCTACCACGTGTAAGGCAGTGTTCTATACACACTGTCTCCTGGCCAAGTGTTTCCATATAGCTGGTCCTTTGAGTCTTCTTGACGATCCTGCATTAATATACATGCGTTAACACCAAATGGAATTGATTTTGCAAATTAAATGTTGGATTACATATAATCTGTCTTAACTCACACACCTAGTGACGGGCATAGCTAAGATTCAGGTATATGTGACTCTGAATCCCATGCCCTTTTCACGTTGATGTCTCTTTTCTTAGTAAGAATTCAGATTAGTTAAGTAACAGAAGTTGAAGCCTTAAAGGATGAAGTGAAGGTGTTGGTGCTTCCTTGGCCTCTTGGCTAATGGTGAAATTAAACGAACGATGTTGTTGCCAGGAATTCCTGGAATTCTCTGTCTTACGGGATAGATTTTTTGGAGAGGCTGGGAAAGTTTCCTACCTTTTAGAAATCACTTTAGATGTAGGTTCCTACTAATCTTAATCTGTCTGTCTGGTTTTAATGTTGGAAACAAAGACTATTCAAAGACCCGGATTCTGTAATTGCTGCCCCGATGAAGGCTAATTAGGAAAAGAGAATGGAGCAAAGTTGGTAGTCCCTTAAATGTTTTTTTCCTCCTGATTTTCCCCTGGATTTCATTATGTAAACCACAAAAAAGAGAAAAATGGTAAAAGATGTTTATCATAAATGTGTAAAATTATGTAATTAAAATCTGTCATTTATTTTATTCACTGTTTTATCCTCAGAAAGAGTTTAGTGCCTGGCCTGTTGAAACGCTTTTTTGAATGATATATGAATGAGCAAATGAATGTAGAAATGAAGAAATAATGTTTGATCATTCTTTCAGTCGATATTTGCTGAGCATCTGCTATATACCAAGCATTTTCCTAGATAAGGAGAATGCCACACCCAACAAGACAAGCATGGTTTCTGCTCCATGGCAATCTCCTTTAGTGACAGAAATTAGAAAATGGACAAGTGAAAAATAAGTTATCTCAGATAGTGGCAACTACTTTGTAACAGGATCACAGGCGCAGAGTGTGAGCGGTGAGAAGTGAGCTTGATTGCTTAGCTGGTTTGAGGAATGCAAAGCATCTCTGTGCAGCTCCTGGAGGAGGTGGGGCGAGGGAGCCAGAGCAGGCGGTGGTAGGTGGTGGGCAGGCGGCGGGACTCCTCCTAGGCTGAGGCAGGGGCTGAGGCTTACTCCAGCAGCCGTAGGAAACCTTTGGAGTTTTCATAAAAGCCTGGGAATGGCGGGAGCAGATTTCTGTTTTAAACTTTCTTTTTTAGGTGATATTTGTTACTGAGTGAATCTTCTGAGAGAGCTACATGCCACATAAGCTCTGGGGAGTTTTTATTTTCTTTCCTTCTGACACGTTGTTAAACATGACTTTTCTTTGTTCAGGAAGAAGAGTTGAGGAAAAGTGGAGAAGCAAAGTACTTTCACCTTCATGATGACCTGCACGTTCTCATTGAAGTTTTTGCCCCACCAGCGGAAGCGTATGCCCGGATGGGACATGCTTTGGAAGAAATCAAAAAGTTCCTCATTCCTGTTAGTACAGTTTTTCTTGATAGTTAACTTGTACTTTAAAGTCTTTATTTTAATCCTTGGTAATTCTTATCAGTGTTGTTATTTGCATAGCACTTTTTCTATTAAAGAGCTTCACATACAGCATCACAAGTAGACCTCCCTGTGTCCCTGGGGATTACTTGACATTATTCCTTGTGAGTATATGAGGTGACAGATTTTTTTTGAAATTAAATAATAGTATTGGGGCCAGCCCCATGGCGCAGCAGTTAAGTTCACATGTTCCGCTTCGGCGGCCCTGGGTTCACCGGTTCGGATCCTGGGTGCGGACCTGCACACCGCTTGGCAAGCCATGTTGTGGCAGGCGTCCCATGTATGAAGTAGAGGAAGATGGGCATGGATGTTAGCTCAGGGCCAGTCTTCCTCGCAAAAAGGAGGACTGGCAGCGGATGTTAGCTCAGGGCTAATCTTCCTCAAAAATAGTAATAATAGCAATAATACTCCAAAGGTTACAGGGCTAAGAAGGTTGAAGAGCACAATCACTTGTTCACGTTTTGGGACTCCAAGTCCCAAGCTTTTTTGTGACACTGAAATAACCTCACAAATTTATTGTTCTCCAACACAAATTCATTAGTACCTTCTGTATACCCAGCGCTGTGCTTGGTGTTGGGTGTGCGGACATGCGTAAGAGCAGTCGCTGCCCTGGAGGAATATGGGCTTAGGGGAAGAGACAAGCCTGAGCAGATGATCTCGGTGCAGCCTGATAAACAGAATGGCAGCCATAAGCATGATGAGCACAGAGAGGAGAGGCACGTGAAGCTATTCAACCAGCTTCTGCTAGGTGTTTGATGTTTTGTTAACAATTGACAGTCTTTTTTAACCCTTTTCAGACACCTTGACATTGCTAAGAATGTCATAATTTAAACAGAATATATCCCTACCTCCATTAAAAAAGTTAATTTAGGTCTTTTGTATAATTTACGTGTTCTTGATTTAAAAAACTGAAACATTAAACACTTTGATTCTTTAGACAATTTACTTTAGAGAAACTGTTGCATCTGCTGGCGGGCTCTGTGGGGTAAGACTGTGTCTTCAGTGATTGCAGGCTGGTCTAGTAGATTGACTTACATACTGCAACATATGCATCATGATTATATTATCTGTGAGGAACACTGTTGTATTTGTGGGAAAAGGATATTTTAAATCACAATTGCCCTTGAAAAGCCAGGATTTGGGATTGTATTAAGTATTTACTTGACAGCTGAAAATCGTTAATATTTTCTTTAGTTCCCTGAAGTCACTGTAATGATCCATTTATTCATTTAGTTTAAAAACAAAGTTTTTGGTGCTTTCTCCGTGATAGACACACGTGAATGAATAAAAGATATTGTCCCTGTCCTTATGGAGTTTATGTAATGGGAGAGAGAGATAAGAATCAGATATTCACATAAAGGACTATAAAATTGCACCTGTGACAAGACTAAGGAGAGGTGTAATGTTTTAGTGGTCATTCACTGTGGGCCAGGGAGTGCTGACCTTGCCAAGTAGGACAGCTTCTGTCTTCCAAAGACGGCTGCAGTGGTCCCTCCCGTCCCATCTCCTTTATGCTCCTCCACCGGGAGGTAGGGTCTAATTTCTCTCACCTTGAATCTGGTCTGGCCAGAGGAACTCTGCCTAACTCAAGGTCACAAAAATTTTCTGCTGTATTTTCTTCTTAATATTTTATAGTATTAGCTCTTTCATATATGTCTATGATCCATTTTAAGTTAATTTTTGTGTATGGTGTGAGGTTAGGATCTAAATTTATCTTTTTCTATATAGATATCCAGTTGTCTCTGTGTTGAAAAGACAGTCTTTCTCCTATTGAATTGCCTTGACACCATTGATGAAAATTAACTGAACATACATGTTTGGATTTATTTCTGGATTCTCAGTTCTGCTCCATTGGTTTATATGCCTGTCCTTATGCCAATATCATACTCTTAATTACTTTAGCTTTATAGTAAATTTTGAAATCCAGGTTGTATAAGTTGTCCAACTTTGTTCTTTTTTTTCAAAATTATTTTGGCTATTCTGGCTCTTTGGCATTTCTGTATATATTTTGGAATCAGCTTGTCAATTTCTACAGAAAAGCCTGCTGGAGTTTTGATAGATAGTGTATTGAATCTCTTGATCAAATCTAAGTTATAGATCTCTAGATTAATAATTTCCATCTTCACAATATTGAGCTTTCAAGTCCATGAACGTGAAATGCTCTCTACTTTTTTTTTTTTTGAGATATTCTTTAATTTCTGTCCATAGTGTTTTATAATTTTTAGGGTACTAGGCTTGCATTTCTATTGTTAAATTTTTTCTAAGAATGTATAATCTTTGATGCTCTTGTGAATGGAATTTGTTTTCTAAATTTCATTTTCAGGTGGTTCCTGGTGTATAGAAATGCAGCTGATTTTTGTATGTTAATCTTCTATCTTCTGACCTTGCTGAACATGTATATTAGTTATAGTGTGTTTCTTTTTAATGGAATCATTAGGATTGTCTACATGCAGGATCATGTCCTCTGTGACTAAAGAAAGTTTTACTTCTTCCTTTCCAATCTGGGTGCCTTTAATTTTTTATTTTTTTCCTTATAACACTGACTAGAACTTTCAGTGCATCATTGATTAAAAGTGGTGAAGATGGACATCCTGTCCTTGTTGGTTTCAGTCTTTCATTAGGTCTAACATTATGTTGAAGACGTTCTCTTCTATTTCTAAGTGTTGAGATATTTTATCACAAATTGGTGTTGGATTTTGCCAAATGCTTTTCCTGCCTATTGAGTTGATCTGTGGTTTTTCTTCTTTATTCTGTTAAAATAGTGTATTGCCTTAGTTGATTTTCAGATATCAAGCCAACCTTGCATTCCTAAGATAAATCCCACTTGGTCTATAATCTCCTTTGTGTGTTGCTGCATTTGATTTATAAATAGTTTGTGAAGGATTTTTACATTTATGATCATGAGGGATATTGACTTATAGTACAATATTTTTATAGTCTTATATAAACCTCCACATTTACCATTCCCAGTGTTCTTCATTTCTTTCTCTTTTTTTTAAAGATTTTATTTTTCCTTTTTCTCCCTAAAGCCCCCTGGTACATAGTTGTGCATTTTTAGTTGTGGGTCCCTCCAGTTGTGGCATGCGGGACGCCACCTCAGCATGGCCTGTTGAGTGGTGCCATGTCCACACGCAGGATTTGAACCAGAGCAACCCTGGGCCACTGAAGCGGAGTGTGCAAACTTAACCATGGGGCCAACCCCATTGATTTCTTCCTGTGGTTAGAGCCGCCATGTGGTGTTGCTTCTTTTCAGCCTGAAGGACTTCCTTCAGTCTTTCATGTAACCCAAGTCTAGCACAAACATTTGTCTTGTTTTTCTCAGACCGTCTTCATTTCCCCTGCCTTCTAAAGGGCAATTTATATAATTCAAGGTTGAGTTTTTCTTTCAGGTGGTGAAGACTGTTCCCTTGCTTTGTGGGCTCCATGATTTTTGATGGGAAGAGTCTTTAATTATTTTGTTGTTCTGTACATCATCTGTTGCTTTTGTATTGCTCTTATCAAGACTTTCTTATTGTCTTGGATTTTTGACAGTTTGGCTATGATATGTATGTTTATCATCCTTGTTTGTTAAGCTTTCTGGATATGTAGTTTATATTTTCTTCAAATATGGGAAGTTTTCAGCCATTGTTTCTTTAAATTTTTTCTGCCTTTCTCTTCCTCCTATGGGGGTGTGAATCCCAACCCCTGGATTCCCATTGTCCATTATGTGTGTGTTTGTACACTTGATGGTGTCCCATAGATCTCTGAGGCTCATTTTTCTTCATCCTTTTTTCTCGGTGCTCCTCAGATTGAATAATTTTAATTGACCTATCTACAAGTGTGCTGATTCATTCCTCTGCCATTTCAGATCTGCTGTTGAGCTAGTTAATTTTTAATTGCAGTAATTGTACTCTCTTTTTAAAAAAAATCTCTTCTTTTGCAAGTCTGACATCTGGACCCTCTCCAGGACAATTTTTTCCTACTGCCTTTTTTTTTTTTTCCTGAGCATGGGTCTCATTTTCCTGTTTCTTTGCATGTCTTAGTTTTTTGTTGAAAACGACATTTTAGATAACGTAGTGCATCTGCATTCTCATTAATTTTATTCCCAGAGGATTGTTTGTTGCTGTGTTTTTATTCATTTCTTTAATAATTTAGTTGGACTAAATCTGTGGAATCTGTCATCTTCATGGTTTATGGCTAGTAATGTCTTTGTTAATTTTTTTCCTTCTTTTGTTTTTAAGCTGGGCTGGCCTGGAGTGTCAGCGTTGCTGAGTGGTCAGCTAGCGATTGGTCAGAGGTTGTGCTCAAACACCTGTGTTAGTAACGAAGCCATCCTCTGCTGATGGAAGCGTGTATGCATTGGGGAGTGCTTGCAAAGGCTCGGCAGTTTTTGCATCTGCCCTGGCTTTTACTTTCCGCAGGTTTTCCTTGTGTCTCCTTTCCGTGTGCATAGACTCACTGTCAGGCAAGCATATGTCGAGAGCTTTAGCTCTCTCTGTTCTTGACTGTACCATGTGCACAGACTTCCAGTCAGTCAGATATGTGCAGGGAGCTTCCCAAGGCTCTTCGTGGCTGTCTCGTTTCCTGGATCTCTGTTAAATTTCTGCCTAGTCTGCCAGTCTATTGCTTGCCCCACCCAAAACTACAGTATTAGGCTTGCTGATTCACTGGTCTCCTCTATTCATTTGCTACAAAAATTGCTCCTGATATTGACAGTGCTGCTGGGCGTGGGGGTTTCTCACACTTTCTTCCAAATGAAGTGAGCCCGTCCTACAGCAGAGCTGCTCGTTTTCCTGTCCTTCCCCATCCTGATGGAACTAATGCCTCACCTGGGCTAGGGAGGAGAGCATTGGCACCTCAGGAACACAGACTCCCTCTTTTCCTACCTCAGATTTAGCAGTTTTTCACGAACAAATTTATTTTATTTTCTATTTATTTTGTAACTCCAATCA